CATAACAAAACTTTCTTGGATGGGATCAAAGAAAGAACAATTTTATGAGAAATTCCATATAATGAATAAGTTTACACACACTTCCAGTATTTAAGTCTATAAAAATACAGATTATTATTGAATCAAGTAGTCAGTTTATCTTCTCTTCATAGTAGTTATGTTTTCAAAGTGCTTGCTGCAAAACATGTAGTCAGAAAAGCCCAGTTCTGTATTCACATATGGTTCTTGTGCCTAACAAATTTTCTTTCACATGGATATATATTTTCCCCACAATAAAATGGGCAAGGCCAGGCGCAGTGGCACACACCTATAATACCAGAAGCTCAGGAAGCTGAGGAAGGAGGATCTCTAGTTCAAAGCCAGCCTCAGCAAAAGTAAGGCACTAAGCAACTCAGTGAGATCCTGCCTCTAAATAAAATACAAAAAAGGGCTGGGGATGTGGCTCAGTGGCTGAGTGTCCCTAAGTTCAATCTTTAGTACCAAAAAAAAAAAAAGCATGACAGTCCCTTAGCTCCTAAATGTTAAGTTTTTTAAAAATATCTTCTGTATTCATTTTTGCCAGATAGAACTCTAGAATCACAAATTACATTTCTGATAAGACTAAAACAGCATTTAAATGCATTAAATATTCTTTCTCCCACAGGCACCAATAGACACCAAAAGTAATCTCTGACATGGTTAAGCCTGTAAATTTCTAATCTAAGTGTCATTCCCAAATGAGAAACTGAATTAACATATCTACCAAAAAAAAAAAAAAAAATTCCAACAAGAGACCTCTCCATTTATTTCCAAATAATAAATATATTCAAAGTTTGTCAAAGCAGGTCAATTCCACCCAACTCCAAAACTGTATGAGCAGTAGTTCCTCCCAATTGTGCTAGTTGTTGTATTTGTGCTTCTTTTTCAATTTGTCTTTAAGAATATGAGGACCAGGCTGGGGTTGTAGCTCAGTGGTAGAGCGCTTGCTTAGCATGTGTGAGGCACTGGGTTCGATTCTCAGCACCGCAGGTAAATAAATAAATAAAATAAAGATCCATCAACATCTAAAAAATTCATATATTAAAAAAAAAAGAATGAGGACCACCATCAACCACAATAAATGCAAATGAAGTAAAAGCATAGAAACTGCTAGCAAGATGATACACAGAAATGGACAGGGGTAGAATCATGTGCTCTCTTTAGCAGCATTTATACTACAAAGGGATGGAACACCGTACATAAATGTATCTAAAATATTTAAAACACATGCAATACAAACAACTAATGTTTTGTGCATAAGTATGTAATAATACTATCATCTGCTTTCTACTGTAATCTGAACTAGATTCCCAACTCAGCTATATCAGATACCAAATTACAAAAGGAAACCTTATTACACCAGCTATATTTTAAAAGTCTCATATTGAGTATTATTTACTTGATTTATATTTTTAAATCAAATAAATGACAAGACTGATAAAACAAGTGATGTAGAACTTAGAGAAATAATTATATTAATCATCCAGCTCTCTAGGCTGTTCACTTTTTAGCTAGAACCCTGGATGCTACCGTAAGGCATAACATAAAAAGGTCAAGCTTTGGAACCAGGAAGATATGGATTTGAACACCAGTGTACCACGTCTTGGACTTGAACTTTCTGATCTCACTTTTTCATCTCTAAAGTGGGAATATTAATTACCTACCTTTAAGGTTTGTAATAATGATCAGTGGGAAAAAATACATATATAAAGTACTCAGCATGAGATACTAAAGAAGTATCAGCTATTATTATTTTATTACTTATAAGCACCCATGAAAAGAGAGGATATAAGAAAGGACATGACAGGAAGATGCTCAGAATCTTGGTTACATTTAACTACTAAAAAACAAAAACATCTTTAATATTTCAAGTTAAACTTCGGGATCAATTTTCTGTTCATACTTTATTTGTGTATATGGTGATATTATAGCTGCTTCTTAAAATACAGAAATTCCAAAAATAACTACCAGTCTACTTATTTTGGAGTAAATAAAAATGAAAGATTACTCTCACATAACAGATAATTTTATGAACAGATGGGATGGTTTTACCACTTAAAAAATTCCAAAACTAAATTACAAAAGGATAGTAAAAGATTCCTACCTTTAAACCGACTGCTATAAGATCTGTAACAACACTGTATGGAAAAAGTAAAAAGAGAAAATGGAAAACAAAGTTAGAGAACAAGTTTTTTAAAAAGACAGAGATAATAAGGTTAAAGAAAAAAAGAAAAAGCACTTAACAAATAACAAAAATAAAAATGTAATGAGTTGTGAAATGTTAATAAAAACAAAAATGATGGAATGTCTAGTAACAGCAGAGTGTAAAAGCAAAGCCTCAATACTAAAGTAAGAAATTTAAAATTATCTTTTAGTACTATACTGATGCATCAAAACAATGTGATAAAATTTATTCAATTACCTCTGTTTAATAAATTTAGACCAAAATTTAAAATCACCAAAGTTCATTCCTTTGAATCACTGGTATGAATGATTACATCTAAAGTTTCAAATAAAACAAAACCAGTGCTTGTGTTTTATAGACATAGAAAGCAAATCTGCATTTACACCAAAACCTGCTGGCCAAAATACAGTTAAGACAGTCTCCCAGAACTAAAATAGATACAAACATCAAATTTCAGGCATCAAAATTAAAAAAAAAAAAAAATGCTTTAAAAAAAAATTCTGCCATGTCAAAATAATCTAAGTATAAAATCATTCTCTTAGGAAGAAATGAAAACACACACACACACACACCAGTGGGATAAGAAGAGACACTAGAAAGATAATTTTGATTAGTGGTCTGTTGTTTGTTTTTCTAACAAAATAAAGGAAAAGAAACTTTTTCGGGCTGTGAGAAAATGAAGAAATTTAATTAGCTTCCTGAGGGCAAATTCTCCCCTTAAGACCAAGATGTAAAAATTCCTATAAAGTCTTGCTGTAGAAAAAATTAATTCTTCTACATCTTCAATGAATAGGCTCCATATTTCCTAAAACAAACCTACAAATAAGTCCTATATACCATTTAATAACTTATAATGTCATCATTACTACATGTAAACAAATGTATGGATCTCGATCTGATTGTTTTAAACAGTAAGCTTGTAGATTTCATCTTCCCTTGTAGACTTCTGAAACTTGGAATACATTTTTCTAAAATTTAAACATGACAACTAATGTTTTGTGCATAAGTGTGTAATAATACTATCATTACTGATGCAAAGAGCAAATGATATTCCTAACTAAACTCCTAAATGAACTTACCTTCTGTATCATTACCTGGATATTTAAGCCAATAAACTCATTCTTAGCTTTAAAACCACAAATAATGCAAAGGGAGAGTTAACACTATCAAAGATTAACTTTGCACTTCACAGCTATAAAAGAGTTTAAGAGCCAAGACACACAATTCAAGAGTCCTCTTTATTTTTACTATAAATTTACGACTCAAAAAGCTAGCCTGCTTCCATATATGAAGTAAAACCTTTTAAGGACAATTCACTACACATACTGAAATACTAATTTTAAAGGCTTCCTGAACTAAAATATTGGCACAATGACATAAATCATTAGAGTAGCAAACTTTGCACATATATAAAATGTAACAATAACATAATGTGAAACAAGTCTTCAATAATGCCCAGAGAAGCTCCAATTAAACAAAATAGCTTCAATTAAATAAAAACAATACTTTAAAGAACAACACAACCATAAATATAATCTAAAATTGCACTTTGTCGTCTACTGAAGTACGTAGTCTGCATTCAAATAAATTAATCAATTTATCACACTTAATATTGCAAACCTAAGATAAATGAAATCTAATGAGGACAAAAATGGTTGGAAGATTCTAGTGTCTTCACAGCTTGCAACAATCATCAACTATATGGCAACATGTAAAATGGCTTTTACTTTTCAAGCAAGTTGTATATATTCCACAACCAGGAAGCTTACAGAAACCTTGTCATAAACTCCAATGCATTAACGGGGATAAATAAATAGATTTGGAATCCCCAACAGAGTTTGGAATTTAAAAAAAAAAAAAACTTGATGTAGACATAATATGACCTTCGATTATTAATTCACCAAGATCCTTCAATTAACACTTTAATCAGTAAAATATATCTGATCCCACCCTATATCCCTGAGTTCCCAGAGAAATATTTATTGGGTACAGGCGATTCTAAATCTTTTCGTTTTGATCACGAACCCCATTTAGTTTCTCAGCATTTGAAAACTCCCTGAAAATTGCACTTACACAATTTCTTACACACACGGCAGCGAATTCACGAAGTTTCGAGGGGGTATAGGGAGAAGGGGAAGCGTCCATGGTCACTAAGTCCAGACGTCTGGTACACAGAAATCGTTAACAAGTCTCGCAGCGCAAGTCGGAAGACCTCGGCCGGCCCCCGGGCAGCCGCGCGGGGCCGCGGTTCGGGACCCGGTTACCGCCCAGACGTGTACCGACGCGCACCCTGGCCGTCCGCCACCCGGCGGCCACTCGCCTTGCCGCCGGGGAGAGCCCCACGGCTCCACCCCGCCGGTAAACAGCAACTCTCCGAGCGGAGGACGCCCGCCCGCCTCGAGCGCCGCCTCCGCCTCCCCCAGCGCCGCGCACCATTTTCTGAGAGGAAGTGTCGGGAGGCCGGCTGGGCTCCCCAGACTCTGGGCGCCGAAGGCGGACCCAGGCACGGACTCCGAGCCGGGCTCTCCCCCGTTTCCCGCTTTGCGCTGTTGGGGTGCGAAGGGGCGAACATTACCCGGGAGCCGCGTGCGAGGAGACGCTGCAGCGGACCGCGCCTCCGCCGATTCAGGGAGCCCCACGAAGGCGCCCGGAAGCCCTGCCGTCGGGCTCTGCCCGGGCCGCTCCTCCGGCCGCCCGCGCCGCGCCCCGCTCCCCGGCCTCGGCGCGTCCCGCCGAGAGCAGAGAGGAAGCGGGGCCACCGCAGCCCCGCGCGGCCGCCAAGCCGCCTAACACTTACCCATCCATGGCCCAGACGGAGGAGCGCACCGTGCGAAGAGTGACGGGTTGGCCGCGAGCGGAGGGGGTAGGTGGCCGCTGCAGGGCGGCTCCGGGGACCAGAGAGCGGCGCCTCTCCGAGCCCCAGCGGGTCGGAGGTGGAAGCTAGTGGGAAACAGGGGCGGGGACCGGGCACGCTCCCGCCACCGCCGCGCCCCCGCCTTCCCAGCCCGCAAGCGCGCCCCCGCCTCGCCTGACCCCGCCCCCTCGGCGTCGACGCCCTCCCCCCGTGTCCCGCCCCTACGCTCGCGCCCACCCTCGGCTCGGCTCCAGGGCGCCCTCTGCTCGTCGTCTCCTCTCCGCCCCGCCTTCCCCCTATCCAGGCACGCGCGCGCGCGTCCCCAGCCTCGCTCCTGTGCTCGCGGGAGCGCGCGCCTTGTGCTTCCCGCTCCCTCCTCTGCCCAGCGGGCCTTCCGGCTTCGCGGACCAGGGCGGCCAGGTCAGAATACCTCCCCCTGCTGGCAGGAAAAGCCTTGAGACCCAACTCCCCAAAGTAGGAAGGAGTGTCAGCTAGGACCGGAGAATCCCGGCTGTACTGCCGGAGCTGGACGAGGTTGTCGGAAGCACGGCCGAGGCCAGGCGTGATGGCCGGGAGCCAGGCGCGGTTGTGGTCTTCGGAGACCTGGACCCTCCGGCTCAAGGAAGACTCTAGGTTCGTGCCCCTGAAGTGGGCAACCTCTGGCCTGCGCGGGACCCGCCTGGCACCGGGAGTTGACTACTAGGACCCGCCCCAGGGACGCTGTACCCCCGGATTACATCCCCAGAGCTTTTTATTTTTTATTTTGAGACGGTGCCTTGCTAAATTGCCTAGGCTATTTCCGATCTTCCTGCCTCGGCCTCCTGAGCAGCTGGGATTACAGGCGTGCATCACCGCGCTGGGACATTTTCATTTTATTTTATTTGTTTGTCGTACTGGGGATTGAACCCAGGGGCCCCCTACCGCTAAGCTACATCTCCAGCCCTTTTTATTTGGAGACCGGGTTTTGCTGAGTCTGGCCTCAAACTTGTGATCCTCCTACCTCAGCCTCCAGAGCCTCTGGGATTACAGGCCCATGCCGCCACGCCCAGCCACATTTTCATTTTTGCATAATTTTGGTTTAAGTTTTTTTTTACCTAGTGGTCTGATATTTAATTTACATTAAACTTTCATTACACATGTGTAGTATGGCCATTATATTACCAGCATTTTATGAGATTACTCATTCATACGTCCCAAAGCAGGGGAGGGGGCGGCTTCTGGAAAGGACTCATTACTCTTACTCATTTTCCAGATGAAAGTATAACCAATAGTGGTATCACAGTTTCACAGTGAGGAAACATTTGCACCAAATCTCTTTCCTCTAGTCTGAGCAAAAATAAATACATGTGTGTGTATTTGTATAATAACTATATAGTATATATATATACATATAACATATGTAACATGATATTTTGCTTGCTTTTTTTTTCTCCTTTAGTCTGTCTGATTCTAAAATTGAATGATTTTTCAGTTCACATATCACCAAAATGTGAGCCACCTAAGCCCTATCTTCAACCAAGCTTGCAACCTCCTTAAGAATGAAGGGGGCACTTCCTCTCCCCATTTGAAAAGTAAAAGGAGCCTCAAGCATGCAATCTTACTTATGTTCTGCTTAAGTAGGTGCTACTAATAAGATTTACTCATCCAGTCAGTATTTACTGAATTTTTACTATCTGCTGATACTGTAATGATGTGCAAAATCAGTTTCCATCATTGATGATTGAATGGATTGCTCAGTCAGTGTTTATGAGGTTTTGTTTGTTTTTGTTTTGGTAGAAAACAATTTTCAAATAGGTAAGTTATCTAATTCAGTGCAGTCATTTAAAAAATTTTTTTTCTAGTTGTAGGTGGACACAATACCTTTATTTTATTTATTTTTATGTGGTGCTGAGGATCGAACCCAGTGCCTCACACGTGCTAGGCACGCACTCTATCACTTAGTGACAACCCCAGCCCTGCATCGACGTTTTTAAAGTACTACACCTAACCAAAATGACAAGCATATTTTGTTTATATGTTAAATCCAAATATTTTTACATTTGTAAACATTGCAACTCTGTTGTTAGAATTTTAAAAAAGCAAAATAAAGTAGTTGATGCAGTCTTGCTATCTTATTTGGGATATATTCAGTTGACATGTACTTAAGCTTTTTAAAGCTACACAAGTAATATAAGTGTAGGTGCTCATTTTGGAAAATTCAAATAGTATTAAATATTAAAATGTGTTTCCTTTCCAAACCCCTCATGCCCGTGATAACCAATGAAATTATTTTGTTTACATCCTTCTAGATCTTTACTATTTTTTTATTTTTTATTATAATACTTTTAATCAACTTAATTATTTTTAATACTACATAGAATTTCATAACTTAATGTATAATTTATTTAACCTTTGTCAATATACTAGAATTCACATTATTTCTAGTTATTCAATATAACTAACAATGTGGCAGAAAATATTACATATACATGAACATCAACTGCACAGTTATGATTACATCTAAGGAATAGATTGCTAGAAGTAGAATTGTAAAAAAATAGGATCTAAGCACTTCAAACCTGATAAATAGTGCCAAAATGATTCCACAAAGTCCATACCAATTTACAGTTTCTTAAGAAAAAGAAGAGCCTCTTTTAACCCCATTCTTTAAAATAGCAAATTTCAATATTAAAAAAAAAAGTATGAAGTATGTTACAACCTTTCCATATCCATACAATCATTCTAAAAAGTCTGCAGTGTAAAGATAATGCACTTGGGGCTGGGGTTATAGCTCAGTGGTAGAGCACTTGCCTTGCACATGTGAGGCACTGGATTCAATCCTCAGCATCACATAAAAATAAATAAAGATATTATGTCCAAGAATTGGTGTGAATATTCTTTGTATACAACCAGAGATATGAAAAATTATGCTCTATATGTGTAATAAGAATTGTAATGCATTCCACTGTCATATATAAATTTAAAAAAAATTAAAAAGTGTCCATCTTGGGCTGGGGATGTGGCTCAAGTGGTAGCGCGCTTGCCTGGCATGCGTGCAGCCTGGGTTCGATCCTCAGCACACAAACAAACAAAAATGTTGTGTCTGCCAAATACTAAAAAATAAATATTAAAATTCTCTCTCTCTCTCTCTCTCTCTCTCTCTCACTCTCTCTCATTCTCTCTTAAAAAAAAGATTTAAAAAAAAGTGTCCATCTTTTCAAAAATCTTTAAAAATAAATAATGCACTTAAATAACAATAAACTTTAAAAAACTGTACAGCATTTCCTAAACATTCAACAAGTCCAGCTTTACAACAGAAGTCTATATTAAAAAAAACAGTTTATAATGGAAAACAAGATGAAATCTTGACCTTGACCTTGGTCTTAAATTCAAAGACTATGAATTAGCCTGTGATTTTTGTGAGTTACTCTGATTCAAAAACAATAGAGTTGGGGGCTGGGGTTGTGGCTCAGTGATAGAGCACTAGCCTAGCATGTGCAAGGCCCTGGGTTGGATCCTCAGCACCACATGAAAATAAATAAAGTAAAGGTATTGTGTCCAACTGCAACTAAAAAATAAATATAAAAAAAAATAGAGTTTAGCTCTTGAAGACCCACATTTAGAATGCTAGCTATTTCCATAGCCTACATGAAATGGAATAATATTGACTTTCTATAATCTCAGAAGCTTCTAGGTTTCTGGAATAATCTGATATTGACCTTAATATGTATGAGCACTTTATGTTTGGTATATTGGTGTAAGGGTCCGGCGAAGCGTCGGAGAAAGAGACCACCAAGTGACCACTCATGCAATTGGCAGAAGGGGATTTATTGAACCAGCATGCTGGGGCTCCGTGCCCACTCGAGAAGGGAAAGCAGCCCAGAGCCCCGAGCAGGGGCTGAGCACTGCTTAAGTACACTTTTTTGGAGGGCGGGGATTTTACATACATCACAGTCTCCTTTAACAAATCATCATACACTGCGGGAAAATCAAACAATAATTCTGAGACATGATTAGTTCGTTCATTGGCGGGAACAGGTCAGGCGGGGGTGATAGGTCAGTTCTAAAGCGGGGTACACATTCAAACTGATTGGTCCAGGCCCTGCGATGCCTATGTGCAAGACCACACGGAGCCCTTAAGTTATTAAACAACCAAGCAGTCAGGGGAAATATTTACTGGGGGTTCCAAGCATTGTCTTAACAGCTACAGGAATTTCAGGTTTTGCATGTAGCATAGGAACTTAACAATACCTAGTCCTTTACATTTTAACTCAGGCCTTGCAGCTTAGAAACTTTACAATACCCGGTCTTTTACCCTTTAACTTTTACACTTTAACTTCAATTTCTTTTACCCTTACATTGGAATTGAACCCAGGGCCTTGAACATGCTGGGCAAGTGTCCTACCTCTGAGCTATTACCTGCAGCCCTTATAATGGTTTCTTTTCTTTTCTTTTTTTAAAAATATATTTATTTGTATGTGGTGCTGAGAACCTAACCTAATACCTCACATATGCTAGGCAAGTGTTCTACCACTAAGCCACAATCCCAGCCCCCTTATAATGGCTTCTTGATGGTAGCATTTCTCTATTTGCTAATTGTTCTATACTTTGAAAAGGAAGACAGTTTTAAATACTTTAATTTATAAATTTTATAACATTTAATCTGTTTTATCCTAATTTGCCTATAAATTCCCCTGAAACACTTTTACCTAATAAGAGATATACCCCCCTCCCTATTATATTTGGACAACATGTAACCTTTGAACACCTGCCTTAAGCTAGTCTAGCATGCAGTGGCTAGTTAACATTTAACCAATATTACCCTATTCAAGTTTATAGGTAAGATTTCTTAGGATATAAAATAATGCAAAGATGCCAGTGTAGGGCAGAAATGATACCAATCAGGTGAATCTGGGGAAGGTCAACATTTTCATTTCATTTCATGACAAATACAAAATCATCATCATTAACATGTATTCCCCAAAATAGAAACCTCTAAAATTAAACTGAGTAGAGAAAAAGGCCAACCTCAAAAAGTTGCATACCATACAATCCATTTGTATAATATTTTCAAAATGACAAAATTATATAGAGAACAGATGAGTTGGTTGTAGGAGATTAGGAACAGGGTAAGAGGGAGTAGAAGGGGATGTG